TTTCCTCAACAGCTATTCCACTTCCAAGATTGGGTTGGGTCAGCCCCATGTAGGTGATCCCAAGCCCATGTTAAGAAAAATAAAAAATAAAAAATAAAAGAAGAAGGTAGTAGTCCTTTCATTTTTTCACCTGCTAAAATGAAGTAGTAGTCCTTTCATTGCTCTGATTGAATGGTCTATTGAACTTGGATCTTTGTGAAATTTGACAGAAAAATTATTTGATACTCCTGACATGTTAAGTGTTCGTGGTTTTCACCGGTCAAATACGAGTATAAAAATACTCCCAAATTATTGCCTCTTCACTCCTTTTGTCACGGAAGTCAATGGAGAAATAGTAAGGTTATTGACTCTGGAATTGCAGCCCAGCCAAGCATTGTTGACCTGAGGAGGAACCCAATTTGAGTCTTCCATTTCTTCGTTTTGTGATCCCCATGTCTTCTCTCATCCCTTCACTCTTATCTTCCTTCATCGTCTCATTCTATCGATTGATTGCCAGTCCAAATCCTGTGTGCTAAGCACATATTCAGTTCCTTTCAAGTGAAGCTGAGGATCACAACTCCAGACTTTAATCCTTCTATGTTTTTTCATTCAAAATTAAACAAATAATATACAGACCAATTTTATTTCCAAATTATGATAAAACATTATTAGCAGTCACATTTTTAAGACTCCATCCTTCTATAAATAAAATAAAAAATTTTGATTGCTAGCCAAGTTTTAGAAAAATCTGAAAATAAAATTTGTCTGTACACTATATGTTTAATTTTGAACTAAAAGTAGGATTAAACACCCATTAAAAGTCTAAACAAGTGAACTATTTCAAAAAGTTATATATTCATTGGTAGGTAAGACATCATGCATTTTCCATGCCATGACATCTCATAAATTACTGGACCTGAAGTGTCCCTTGAGAGATGAGCTCTATATTTTTTCATTTCAAATCTTTGATGAAGAAGAAATATATATATATATATATATATATGTACAGAAGTATTCTTTAGTTAATATACTAAGATGAAAATTCTATGATCTTATCCTATAGAATTCCCAAACAAAAAAACAAGATCTACCATATGACTAGGGGGAGCTCATCTAACTTGCCCCACGTTGAAGCTGCCTGCTCTCACACGTTTGCTGCAAAATATAAAAATTAAGGAAAAAGATTGAGAGCTCTAATGGGTGAGCTCTAAAGGAGTACCCTGTGATGTGATGTCTTGTGCTAGCTTTCTCTTCTTTTTTTTGCTTTGTCACATCACTAGAGCTCAAATTAGAGCTCTAGATTTAGAGCTTTGTATAATTTCCCAAAAATTAAACACTAAACTGAGAAAATTTTCGAATGCCAGAAAATTTCGTCAATGGTTCCAGAGTCTCAATCAGTTTAAGTGCTTAAATTATGTTTAAAAGGAGTAGACTGAGAGGTGTACCTAGTTGGATCCATGGTTTCAAATTCGCAAAAACCTATTTAATTATTCAGTAGTCAAGCAACCATATATTGTGCGGAGAGCTTCCAAAAAACTCAACAACACCAAAGTTGATGATGATTATGTAAATTGAGGACAAGAATACAAATAAATAAAATTAGTGAAAAAACGACAATCACACAAGACACCAAAGAATTACGCCGTTCGGCTGAACCTACATCCACGGACAATCTCACAAGTAATAGTTTTCAGTATCAAACAAAACAAGTGCTCATAGAGGTCCAATGGTCTTTCTCTCAATCTCCCTCTACTCAAATATGAGTATAAAAATACTCCCAAATTATTGCCTTGTTTTCTTCTTGCAAATTGCTTTGGAGGAGTGAGTTCTATCCAGAAGACTTCTTTCATTTGGTATTAGAATTTATTGGCTAAATTAAGATAACTATTAAACTGTTGAATATTGATTGATAGGTAAGTGAAGCTTAAGGATTTGTATCTAATATTGCTCTGGGAAAATTATGACCCTGTTTGGTACAGTTTACTAAATTAATTATATTTTTTTTTAATATTAAAAGAAAAGTTATCATCCAAGCGTCTCAACCATCCATTACACCTGAAATCTTTTCCTCAACAGCTATTCCACTTCCAAGATTGGGTTGGGTCAGCCCCATGTAGGTGATCCCAAGCCCATGTTAAGAAAAATAAAAAATAAAAAATAAAAAATAAAAGAAGAAGGTAGTAGTCCTTTCATTTTTTCACCTGCTAAAATGAAGTAGTAGTCCTTTCATTGCTCTGATTGAATGGTCTATTGAACTTGGATCTTTGTGAAATTTGACAGAAAAATTATTTGATACTCCTGACATGTTAAGTGTTCGTGGTTTTCACCGGTCAAATACGAGTATAAAAATACTCCCAAATTATTGCCTCTTCACTCCTTTTGTCACGGAAGTCAATGGAGAAATAGTAAGGTTATTGACTCTGGAATTGCAGCCCAGCCAAGCATTGTTGACCTGAGGAGGAACCCAATTTGAGTCTTCCATTTCTTCGTTTTGTGATCCCCATGTCTTCTCTCATCCCTTCACTCTTATCTTCCTTCATCGTCTCATTCTATCGATTGATTGCCAGTCCAAATCCTGTGTGCTAAGCACATATTCCATCATGTATCAATCCGAGGAATCGTGCCGTTGCTTTTCACTCGTTGAGATTCAATTGGCGACCAACAACTTCGATAATGCTTTGGTCATTGGGAAAGGTGGATTCGGTAAGGTGTTTAAAGGATTCATCGACGGTGGAGCTACCACTGTCGCCATTAAGCGATCGAATGCAGAGTCCAAACAAGGGGCAGCAGAGTTTTGGACTGAGATCAAGACGCTTTCCAATCTCCGGCACAGACATCTCGTGACTCTGATTGGCTACTCTAATGATTGCGAGGAGATGATACTTGTTTACGAATACATGGTCAATGGGACGCTTGTTGATCATCTCTACAAAAATAGTAGGAAAGGGAATGGGAATGAAATTTATCGGCTTACTTGGGAGGATAGGCTCAAGATTTGTATTGGTGCTGCCGAAGGATTGGACTACCTTCATACGAATACTGAGCAAGCTGTCATACATAGAGACGTGAAGAGCACAAACATTCTATTGGACGAGAATTGGGTAGCTAAGATTTCAGATTTTGGGTTGTCGAAAATGGTAAACAGAAGCCATTCACAAACCCATGTTAGTACAGATGTTAAAGGCACATTTGGTTATTTAGATCCAGCGTATTTCTTGACCCGTAGACTTACCAAGAAATCGGATGTGTATGCCTTTGGTGTGGTTCTATTTGAAGTGTTATGTGCGAGGCCACCGGTGGATACAAGTGTTGAGGAGGACCAAATGGGTCTAGCTCGATGGGCAAAAAGATGCATGAAAAAAGGAACCCTTGACCAGAGCATTGATCCCTCTATAAGAGGACAAATATCACCAAGCTGTCTAAAGGTGTTCACAGAAGTTGCTAACAAATGTTTACGTAATCGTCCAGAAGGAAGGCCCACAATGACTGAAGTGGCGGGGAGCCTCAAGCTTGGATTGGCATCACAAGGCAATATCCATATACCTCAACACAAGGGAATAATAACCAATGTGTTTTTTACTACTGCACATGTAGTGGCTAAAGGTATTGATATTGGGTGGAGGAAGTGGAAGAACTGGGGTCCTAAGAATGGGGTGTCAAGGCAGTTGTGGAGGGATCTGGTTGAGGATGGTGTCATTCAATCATTCCGTCGTTTCTCTCTGGAGGAGATTCGAGTAGTCACAAATAATTTTCATGAGCTTCTGGTGATTGGGCAGTCTGTTGACACCAAAGTGTATAGAGGCCACATCAACCATGGGAATATTGTGGTGGCAATTAAAAGATGGAAAGAAGGAACATCAAGAGAGAGGAACTTGGACCAATTTAGGGTTGAGCTCCAAGTGCACTCCTATCTCCCTCACCCCCACATTGTTTCTTTAATTGGATACTGCATCGATAAGCATGAAGTGATCGTTGTGTATGAGTATATGGTCCATGGGCCTCTCTCCAATCACCTCAATGAAACCAACACGTATACACTAAACTGGGAAAAGCGACTTGAGATTTGCATTGGTGTTGCACAAGGACTACAATACCTCCATGCGGGTACAAGGCAAACAATCATTCATCAGGACCTGAATCCAAGCTATATTATGTTGGATGAGAATTGGAATGCAAAAGTACTATACGAGGCTGTATCAAGTACATACACTGTGGGATATATGGATCCAGAATACCTTGGCAATGCAAATTTTACTATAAAATCTGATGTGTACTCATTCGGCGTCATCTTACTTGAACTATTGTGTGGTAGGAAGCCAATGATCTATTCAAGGGACGAGGAACAAGTGAATTTAGTTCGTTGGTTCAAAACTAATATCGAAATGCGTACTATTGATCAGATCATTGATCCGTATCTAACCAACAAAATAGCACCAGAATGTTTGAAAAAATATGTCAAGATTGCAGAAAATTGTGTGTGTGATGAGGGGATTGAGCGTCCATCGATGGATGATGTGTTGGGTAACCTCCGGTATGCACTGCAATTGCAAGAGACATGGTGGAATTGTAATGAACAGTTCGGTACAGTTAAGTCCCCTGAGGCCGTTCCTCGTTAGAATGGAACTGTGTTTGTTCAATTAGCCAGTAGAGGAGATATTGATGTGATTTTATGAGCATTAATTGGGGATTCTGATTGTTTTCCAAGTAATCTAGCACAATAGCATAATGTTGCCACTGTTAATGGATTGCTTTCCGATGTATGTCTGAAGCCATGTAGGTGATCCCAAGCCCATGTTAAGAAAAATAAAAAATAAAAAATAAAAAATAAAAGAAGAAGGTAGTAGTCCTTTCATTTTTTCACCTGCTAAAATGAAGTAGTAGTCCTTTCATTGCTCTGATTGAATGGTCTATTGAACTTGGATCTTTGTGAAATTTGACAGAAAAATTATTTGATACTCCTGACATGTTAAGTGTTCGTGGTTTTCACCGGTCAAATACGAGTATAAAAATACTCCCAAATTATTGCCTCTTCACTCCTTTTGTCACGGAAGTCAATGGAGAAATAGTAAGGTTATTGACTCTGGAATTGCAGCCCAGCCAAGCATTGTTGACCTGAGGAGGAACCCAATTTGAGTCTTCCATTTCTTCGTTTTGTGATCCCCATGTCTTCTCTCATCCCTTCACTCTTATCTTCCTTCATCGTCTCATTCTATCGATTGATTGCCAGTCCAAATCCTGTGTGCTAAGCACATATTCCATCATGTATCAATCCAAGGAATCGTGCCGTTGCTTTTCACTCGTTGTTGGCAACCAACAACTTCGATAATGCTTTGGTCATTGGGAAAGGCGGATTTGGTAAGGTGTTTAAAGGATTCATTAACGGTGGAGCTACCACTGTCGCCATTAAGCGATCGAATGCAGAGTCCAAACAAGGGGCAGCAGAGTTTTGGACTGAGATCAAGACGCTTTCCAATCTCCGGCACAGACATCTCGTGACTCTGATTGGCTACTCTAATGATTGCGAGGAGATGATACTTGTTTACGAATACATGGTCAATGGGACGCTTGTTGATCATCTCTACAAAAATAGTAGGAAAGGGAATGGGAATGAAATTTATCGGCTTACTTGGGAGGATAGGCTCAAGATTTGTATTGGTGCTGCCGAAGGATTGGACTACCTTCATACGAATACTGAGCAAGCTGTCATACATAGAGACGTGAAGAGCACAAACATTCTATTGGACGAGAATTGGGTAGCTAAGATTTCAGATTTTGGGTTGTCGAAAATGGTAAACAGAAGCCATTCACAAACCCATGTTAGTACAGATGTTAAAGGCACATTTGGTTATTTAGATCCAGCGTATTTCTTGACCCGTAGACTAACCAAGAAATCGGATGTGTATGCCTTTGGTGTGGTTCTATTTGAAGTGTTATGTGCGAGGCCACCGGTGGATACAAGTGTTGAGGAGGACCAAATGGGTCTAGCTCGATGGGCAAAAAGATGCATGAAAAAAGGAACCCTTGACCAGATCATTGATCCCTCTATAAGAGGGCAAATATCACCAAGCTGTCTAAAGGTGTTCACAGAAGTTGCTAACAAATGTTTACGTAATCGTCCAGAAGGAAGGCCCACAATGACTGAAGTGGCGGGGAGCCTCAAGCTTGGATTGGCATCACAAGGCAATATCCATATACCTCAACACAAGGGAATAATAACCAATGTGTTTTTTACTACTGCACATGTAGTGGCTAAAGGTATTGATATTGGGTGGAGGAAGTGGAAGAACTGGGGTCCTAAGAATGGGGTGTCAAGGCAGTTGTGGAGGGATCTGGTTGAGGATGGTGTCATTCAATCATTCCGTCGTTTCTCTCTGGAGGAGATTCGAGTAGTCACAAATAATTTTCATGAGCTTCTGGTGATTGGGCAGTCTGTTGACACCAAAGTGTATAGAGGCCATATCAACCACGGGAATATTGTGTTGGCAATTAAAAGATGGAAAGAAGGAACATCAAGAGAGAGGAACTTGGACCAATTTAGGGTTGAGCTCCAAGTGCACTCCTATCTCCATCACCCCCACATTGTTTCTTTAATTGGATACTGCATCGATAAGCATGAAGTGATTGTTGTGTATGAGTATAGGGTCCATGGGCCTCTCTCCAATCACCTCAATGAAACCAACACGTATACACTAAACTGGGAAAAGCGACTTGAGATTTGCATTGGTGTTGCACAAGGACTACAATACCTCCATGCGGGTACAAGGCAAACAATCATTCATCAGAACCTGAATCCAAGCTATATTATGTTGGATGAGAATTGGAATGCAAAAGTACTATACGAGGCTGTATCAAGTACATACACTGTGGGATATATGGATCCAGAATACCTTGGCAATGCAAAATTTACTATAAAATCTGATGTGTACTCATTCGGCGTCATCTTACTTGAACTATTGTGTGGTAGGAAGCCAATGATCTATTCAAGGGACGAGGAACAAGTGAATTTAGTTCGTTGGTTCAAAACTAATATCGAAATGCGTACTATTGATCAGATCATTGATCCGTATCTAACCAACAAAATAGCACCAGAATGTTTGAAAAAATATGTCAAGATTGCAGAAAATTGTGTGTGTGATGAGGGGATTGAGCGTCCATCGATGGATGATGTGTTGGGTAACCTCCGGTATGCACTGCAATTGCAAGAGACTTGGCGGAATTGTAATGAACAGTTCGGTACAGTTAAGTCCCCTGAGGCCGTTCCTCGTTAGAATGGAACTGTGTTTGTTCAATTAGCCAGTAGAGGAGATATTGATGTGATTTTATGAGCATTGGGGATTCTGATTGTTTTCCAAGTAATCTAGCACAATAGCATAATGTTGCCACTGTTAATGGATTGCTTTCCGATGTATGTCTGAAGCTATCCATTTGCTATGTTGAAATAAACTTTCTAACATAATGTAATCCACATATTTTATAGATTTTTTGTGTATTGTACAATATGGTTGATGCAAAACAAGCAGGAACAATGCTGGATTTTGAAAACAGAGGTTATTTGATGGCCTAAGCAGTGAGTAATTTAGGATTTCAAGGGTTAAATTGAAGGCTAATATGTAGGGTAAGGGATTAGGATTGATTTGAGGGTGATTGGATGGAGTTTTGAGGTTAAAAAGTGCACTTTAGAGTACTGTGAATAGTAATTCGAGAATAGTAAATTGAAACAAAAAGAAGAAAGAGGAGAAGAAGATAGGTTTAGGAATCAATTAGAAAATCCCTTAGGCATCGCACCTAGGGTTTGATTGCATCACACAATCCGTAAAGAAACTTCAAAGTTCTCAAATTTTTTTATAAAATATCAACTCTGTTGAATTATAAGCATTACATGGTTATATATAGAATTAGAAGAATTCCAAAACCAACTATGACCAAAAATGAAACTATTATAATATCTTTGACTTTTAAAACTAATCTAAAACAAATAAGAAACAAAAACAAAGACTAATTAAATAACTAGACCTACAAGAGAAAAAAAAAAAATGCATATTTACTAAAAGCTTTATCTTGAGATGAACAACTCAGAAAATTCAATGGATACTACTGAAATATTTTACCAATAAATAAATAATCAATTCAGCTTGTCATCAGCCAAAAACTAAATAATCCAAACTAAAAGGTCCACAAAAAAAGAGAAGGATATTAACCACTCGTTGAAAAACTAAAACATTACATATGTTATTGTGATAATGCTAGATCATGTGAAATGAGGTCCCATGTAAAGCCTCGATTTTTATAGTTTTGTTCTCTCCGAATTTGCCTCTTAATGTAATCCACTGTTTGCCATGTCCTCGTTGAATGCATTGAGAATTTCAACACAGAATGTTATACATTAATACGCAAGGAATTAGATTTTAATTGAAGGCTATGTTTGGTAACTTAGGAGAGAAAAGAAAAGAAATGATTACTTAAGTAATAAGAGAAAAGAAAAGAAAAGAAATGATTGTAATTTCTCTCATTTTTGTTTGGATAAGTAAGAAATAAAAGAAAAGAAATGATTGTGATTTCTCTCCTTCTTGTTTGGTTAGATTTCATTAAGAGAAAAGAAAATAAATTATTTTATGTTATATTACCAAAATAACCTTTTTATATTTTCAATCATTTTATTTCTTTTATTTTTACAGGGGTAAAATTGGTATTATGAAAATATAAACATTTGTGGATTTCTTTTCTCTCCAAATCTCTCCACTTTTGGGAAGATTGAAAATAAGGGTTATGAGAGAAATGAGTTTCTTTCCATTTCTCTCTATTTCTCCCCATTTCTCTCCACTTAAGATAACCAAACAAGGAAGAGAAATACATTTCTCTCTATTTCTTTTCTTTTCTCTCCAAATCACTCAATCCAAACACAGTGTTAGGGATTTCAAGGACTAAACAGTAATTGATTATGTTCTGTTTGGTTGCTGAGAAAATTCAAGAATACTAAAACTCCAAGTAATCGAAGCAAGTGAAGACTATTTGGGTAGATGGAAATGAGTTTTTCATTTTTATTAGCACATAAAAATGTTCAAATTTCCTTTCCGTTTCTTCAATTTCCCCTTTGATTTGGCTTTTAACTCAACTGGGTTGGCTAATTCTTTTCCATTTCCCTCATTTTCTGAGCAAATAGGGTACATTAGAATCGACATTAATACGTGTATTTAGAAACTCAAAAACTGAATAAACATTTAAATAAATAAAGATCCTCAAGAACATATCATGGAGGAGGGAGATTACCTGGTGGGAAGTGGCGTATTGGGAGAATCCTGAGGATGTCTAATTGGGGAGTCTCAGTGGATAGATCCGGGTTTGGGCGGGAAAATTGGGTATGAGTCTGTAGGATGGCGAGAAAGTTGTCGTTATTGGAATGTCATTCATCTGGATTTACGAGAGAGAAGTGTTGGCCCAAAAAGCTTGCACAACCCGAGCCATCATGAGGTAGCATTTGCTCTTTTATTTATTTATTTTTAACTAATTTTCGTCTATAATGAAATTTTTTTAAAAGTTTTTAAAAAAATCGTGGACAATTTTTTTTTAAAAAAAATTAAAAATTAAATATTCCAAAAAAAAAAAGACAAAAGAAAATGAAAAGACAAAAAATAAGTAAAAAATAGTGGACTTTATTTTTTTACTTATTTTGGCTTCTTCACATTTTTTAAAGTTTTTAATTTTGTTTTACTTTTGATTCGTCCACAAAAACGGAA